GCACATTACTGTGAGTTGTATAGCTGTGGAGCTCTGTAATACTCATACACACTGCACATTACTGTGAGTTTTATTACTGTGGAGCTCTGTGATACACTCATACACACTGCATATTACTATGAGTTTTATTGCTGTGTAGCTCTGTGATACAGTCATACACACTGCACATTACTGTGAGTTGTATGGTTTTGGAGATCGGTGCCACCAGTTGGTGAAAATCCCCAGAATCACACAGAATTTTTGATTTAATCTTACTGAAGTGGAAATGTAGTTGGTTAATATTTAGTTAAATTTCTATAAAATTTTGTGAATTGAATGGTTGACATGAATGTGAATAAATTGGGTCTTAAAGTCACTTACCTGCGGCTCCAGGCGGAATGTCTTTGATGAGCCTTTTGGGTCATCGGGTCTTATGTCTAGAATATAGGCAGCGTATAGAGGATATCGTAACTCCTTATGGTACAGCGAGGCATAGAAAGGGTTATTTTGGTTTTCGAGCATCAGGCAGAGAGGTGTGATGGCATTGGCCTTGCTGGAGAGTTGATCAAATCCTTGTGGAGGGTTAGTACCATAGAAGGTACCAAGGCAGTCATTGAAACTTGGACTCACTTTGGCCAAGGCTGTATTAACCAGAGCCAAGACTAGTAATAGCCAAAACATCATGATGGAAACAGCAACTCTTGGACAATCTCGAGAAGATGGAAAGACCCGTTATGTGAGCTTCACAACCAGATAATATGTCACCCCACGGGTTCCTGCTTTATATACAGTTTCATGGTCATGTGTTACAATGTATAGATAAGGCTAAAGATTTGGGAGATGTTAGGGTTAAAGACTTTATGGTGTTTTAAGCTTGAACAGGAATGGCAAAACGTGTCACTTGTGGTTAATTACATCAGGTTTAAAGAGGAACATATGATTAAAAAAATATACTCTTTCATTTTTACCTATTGTTTGTAATTATTTACATAATATTGAAGCTTGCACAACTAACACAAAGTCACCTTCTTCTGATCTGTGTGTATTCAATGAAAAGTGAGCCCTAAATGATTTCCTTATATTTAATTTTATATAGTCAGTTTGGAAGGTATTAGGGTTTAAAGGTTTTATGGTGTTTAACCTTGGATGTAGGACACAGAAGACTATATAACACAACAGTTAATGGACACTCCAGGCACCAAGACCACTTCTGCCCTTTGGAGTGGTCTGGGTGCCAATTCCCATCACCCTTAACTCTGCAAGTGTAATTATTGCACTTTTTATAAACTGCAATAATTACCTTGCAGTAGGGGTTTCTAGGGGGGAACTTACCCAAGATTCCCGCCCTTACCCAAGATTGATTGATTATTGGGCGTTTATGCACCACCTCCTGAACTGACAAATACCTCATCAGAGAACCCCTTGTCCACCACACCCTATAGTTTGACCATTGGGCTATGGCTGGTTTCCTTTCTAAAAAGATAGACCCTAAACAATGGTGTTCTGATGCTGACACTAGCTTTTCAAAAAACCTGTCGCTCCAAACCCTCCCCCCTCAGGATATACATGCCAGCCTCAATAGATTAACTAAAATGTTTAAACAACAAATTAAAACCAGCTGGGAGATATCAACCTTGGACACCTATATATCTAAGAAAATCATCCCAAGGGGCCTTAGGGTTCTCGTTCCACCCCCTAGAAACATAGAGATCGAGGCTTTTACAAGAGAATGGGAGGAGGCTGCAGCTACATGTTCCACAACTTTTATGTCTATCATATGCAAATATGAAACACAACATCTAGCTACCACCCAAAGCTCACTAGATACCGAGATTGAGAACATACAAAGATTCAAGGAGGATCCCTAATTTCAGAATCTTGAGGTTAATTTAAAGACCAATTTGGATAGATTCTCACATCAGATAAAAATCAAGAAGCATAACTTCAAAACAGGTAGGGTCTATCGCCAGACTAGGAGAAAAGTGAGAATAGACTCGGACCATTTTAGTACTTCAGAATATGAGAAAAAACACAAAAAAGGGTCAGCGCTGATATGACAACAGGAATGGAATAATATAAAGTATAGGCAGCACACCTATAGAATGGGGGGTCCCCTCTAATCCCCTCAGGATAAGTATAGAAGAAAAAAAAGGTAAAGGGTGCGCCTTAAAAATAAGTGAAAGTAATAATATAAATATACAAACGTCCAAGCAGTTCTGCAATAGTCCAAAATTTGAATGATCCACGTTGGCAGGAAAAGGTCCTTATGAGTCAACGACTAGGGTGTATAGTCCAGAAGTATATATGAATGGGATAAGCAGAAGACAAAAGACTCCAGTGGTACAGTATGTCTTAATCAATAAAATATTGGATAAATAAAATGAAAATACTCACACTATCCAGAGCTCTGGTTTGAATGGCATGAAGTGGAACAATCCCCGCTCAAGGATATGAGGAGTGATCTTCAAAAGACCGGCCCAGTAGGATAATCCAGCTCGGGATGAGATAAAATAAAATATATAGTGCTCCCTGTATAGCTGATAACAATTATAAAGAGTAGGATAAAATATAATCACGGAATATTGAGCAGACGCACTGCTCGATGAATAGCGCGTGGGTGGTACAATCCCCACCTTTGATTCTTGGTACTTCTTATGAATCGTAGAACAGTGGTGTCACATCAGGATAAAAAAGGATAATAAACTTCCAGAAAAAAAATAAATAAAAATAATAATAATAAAAGATGGTAATATAGTAATATAGTGAAAAAAGGAATATGGCGACAATGTGGAAAACAGACAAAAATTTCCTTTATTAATTCTTAACAATAAATATTTAAAAGGTTTCTAGACGCGTTTCGCCACTGCGGCTTCATCAAGTAGAAACACATAAGGAAAAACAGACCTGACAGACACTGTTTATATAGGAAACATGTAATTACATCTGAAATTTGAATTTCCCGCCAAAATGACGTCATCGGCGTCACAGGTGGGGAAGCATAATTTACTTTAATGAGAAACATAATAAAAGTGCATATTCTTATATAGTATAAGTAGGGAGACTATGCATATAAACAATAATAAAAACCGAGACCTAAAAACATTGAAAATTTAACTTAGAAAAGAATCACGTGACGTGCGTTCGTGTACTTCCGCGTCACGTGATATCGGTGGACCGCATGCTTCATAGTGTGTTGGAAGGCATATGTGGTGAGGGAGGCAGTAGGCAGTCTCGTCGCCCTGTGGGAGAGGCACATCAGGGCGGACCCCAATCTGTCTGTACTCTATATCTAGTTTACTGTTGGAAAAGGTATATCGATGACGTGTTCATCATCTGGTGGGGCTCTGAAAAAGAGTTTGAGGCTTTTGTTCGACTTCTTAATGTAAATAATCTCAATTTAACATTCACTAGTGAGATGGGGGGAAAACAGTTAAACTTTTTGGCTCTAACAATTTCAATACAACCTGATGGCAAAGTGGCAACCACATTACATAGGAAAAAGACTGCCACCAATGGCCTGCTGAATTGGCAAAGCTACCATCCCAAACCTCTGAAAACAGGCATACCCATTGGGCAGTACTTGAGACTTTGACGTAATTGTTCCACCATTGATGACTTTAAGGCCAAAGCCTGGGACCTTAGAAAGTCCTTCAAAGAGAAGGGCTGCCCCAATAGGGTCCTAAGAAAGGCATATTCTGGAGCTATTCTCTCAGATAGAGACAACTATCAACCAACATCAAATCCCAACCTGATTCGATGTATAGCCACCTACGATGCAGGTTGGACATACATGATAGAAACTTTTAAACGCCATTGGTCAATTTTAGTGTCAGACCCGCATTTAAAAAATGTGGTCACTCACTTTCCCTCTATAACTGCACGTAGGGGACAAAATCTGAGAGACACTCTAGTACAAAGCCATTTGGCCCCCCTAAAAAAAATGTCTAAGCAGTACTTACCAAAGGGCACATACAGATGCGGACATTGCAGCGCATGTCCGTACACTGATAAAAACCCTAAACAATTTAAGGACAGCAATGGTGAAGAAAGCTTCCCAAGACAAAGCTTTTTCAATTGTCAGACAGAGGGAGTAATTTATCTGCTCACCTGCTCATGCAGAACAAAGTACGTTGGCAAAACTTTTCGCCCATTCAAATATAGAATTAGGGAGCATGTAATTTTGGTGAGAAGACCCTTGAAGCTTCATCATGCAAACTCCTTGTGACAGACCTCTCTGTCTTTAAACTACTTTTATTCCCTCTTTGTTCGTGTGTTTGTTCAGCTATTTCCATGTCCGTACAGCCCCTAGGTTATTCCCCGTTTTACCGAATGAACTGCCGAACGGCCGTCCACCCAGTATGGAAATGTGCTGCTTGTTAACCTCTTGGCCTCATCAGAACGTTGTGGTTAACCGCAGACACTTCCTAATTGTGAAATGTTTGCTGGGTGGTCGTTGTTTGTATGAACGAACACGTGGCAGCGGCCATCTTAGACACACAAATACCCAGCAGTGTTCGTCAACGATTTCGTGGATCTGAAAACGGACACTATTCTTCACGAACACCGCTGAAGCCGCTGACCTCCCTTCTTCTGTTCCTTCAGTATACAAAACGCCGTTCGGTACTTTTCTTCACGAATAGAGTCACCTCAGATAACTATCCCATGGAGCCCCATTCGTATAACGAAAGACTATGTGAAATACTTTGGCTCCATGGCGATTGGTCTGTATGTATGTGATCTGAGCGTTCAGATCTAAGCTATCTGGGGATATGTTCAACATGCCTATTTTATTCGTAATGTGTAATGTGCGCTCAGATCTAAGCTATCTGGGGATATGTTCAACATGCCTATTTTATTCGGTAGTTGGTATAGTGTATAGTTTTATGTGTTTTTATTACCATGTGTAAAATGGAGGTTTGCCTCTATCCTAGGAGATAATTGAGTTACTTCCTGTAACAGAACTGTCTGTATATTGATTACAATTATTTTCCCTCCATTCGTCTGTTTGTTCGGTTTATTTCCCTGCCTGTACCGTCCCTATGTGTTCCCCTGTTAAACTACCGAAAGCCGCACGAAGGCGCGACTACCGGGAAGCTGGCGTGTGCCTCCAATTGATCTCCCTGCAGCTAGCGTGTGCGGTTAACCGCAGCTTAATTGACTGTTACTGGGTGGTCACGGTTACACATAGTCGCCACCCAGTGGCGGTGTTATGGAGCTCCCCGGATGGCCAGCGGTGCTCAGCCCAGAATCAGTGCACTAAAAGTGGATACTTTTACATGCAGGCACAGCTGAGCCTCCAGCCTTCCCTGCTTCTATTTCGGTTGTTTAAACGAACGCTGGATTGTTCGGGACTTTACTTAAGTGAATGTTTTTACCCAGATAGCTATGCCATTGAGCCTATTCATGTAATTAAAGACTTTGACTCCATGGCAATTGAACAGTATGTGTGTGATCTGAGCGCTATTCAGTACCGTGGGAATTAGGGAGTTATCTACCAAAAGGCTGAAAGACCTAAATTGGTCTTTCAGCCACATTTACTAATACTAAGTAAAGATTACTTAGTATTAGTACATTTTGCCCCTACTCGCTATAGCCTGTGCCTACAGCCTGTGGCTGCTCACTGTTAAAATTTTTTTTTTTTAAAAAGGGTCCCCCCTCCCGAGCTGGGGGCCCTAAATTAGAATAAGGGGGGGAAATATTGACCCCCCGGCCTCCACCCCTGAGTGGCGGGTGGGGTCCCTAAAGTAAAATAATGGGGGGGGAACCTATTGTCCCCCCCAAGACCCCCACCCCTGAGCGGTTGGTGGGGGCCCTAAATACTAATTGGGGGGGAGACCTAATGTCCTCCCCCCTGGCCCCCACCCCTGAGCGGTGAGTGGGGGCCCTAAATTAGCATGAGAGGGGGTCCTAATGTCCTCCCCCCTGGCCCACACCCCTGAGTGGTGATTGGGGGACCTAAATACTAATGAGGGGGGGACCTAATGTCATCCACAGACGTCACAAGTCAGGACGCACCCTACCACTGGAGTACTGCTCAGGATGTGTGGCAGGCTCGGAGATGGCTGCCAATGTCCTCAAACTAGACAACCCCTGCTTCGGACGGTTATTCGCTATATCTGCCCTCTGGAGTCACCTGTCGTGGGTGATGGGACTTTACCTGCGTGTTAGAGAACGCTATGAGTTGCGGGACTCCAGACTAAGAAGGGAGGTACTCCTCTATAGGGAAGCCTTGACTTCGATTCTCGAATTCACATTCTTGGGGCCCTTGGCCTAGGGCCTACTCTTGGAGATACGTGCCCGGACAGTCAGGGATACAGGGACTTAAAGGTCCTATATTATACCCTATCTTGTAGGTGGCAGACCAGGAGCTCCTACACATATTTTAACAGGTCGGGCATGGGACAGGATCGTACAAACGAGTAATCGGAGTGTGCCGTCAATTGCCGTCTATCACTACAGCACGTGAGGACTCTTCTGTGTTACACAGGTCCCAATTACCATTGGATCCGACCACTTATCGCTCTTCGACGACGATATATCTGGATGGAAATCTCAACCCAGGTTTACGTTCATCTCCTTTTGGATATATCCGGGATTCACAATCCCCCCAGAGTAGTCAACCACCGTTTCACTACACAAGTACGGCTTGGGACTCAGATTGGATGTCCTTTGGGAATTCCTTCTCTACCGCAGTCGCGGGTTACACAGTCCATTTGGAGTACTGAAATCACTTAGGATACGGCTAGTTTTGACCGCACTCTTGCCTGCATAATAAACTCATTCTCGGATGAGACCATTCACCGGGTAGATCATGAGGGAACAAAAAGACCCTACTCGGTTCTGCTAAGGAATTGGTGGTAGACGTAGACGCATAACTTGAGGTTGGAGATTTGCCTGCAAGGCCAAATCATCGGGTGACCCTGGCACGATCGGAGGATCCATTCTCCACATCAAGAGTCAAGACCTGGTGTCCGCATATGACCTTCTGCATTTTACACCTACAGGAGAAGGGCTAATAGGTCAGCTTGGCAGCCCACGGACCGGCTACTAGGAAACAGGTCGCAACCCCACGTACAATGGATCTAACAGCGGATGTTTTTTTCCCATATTTGGGGTGCCTCGACGGCTGGCATCTTCATCGATCCGTCTACTGTCATTTCTCACTTGGAAGGTCCATTTAGGACTGCTCTATTATCTCCCGGAATAGGTACCAGCGAAACAAACAGCGTTGGATTTGTTGACGGAGCGTTAAAACAGCAAATACAAAGTCTCCTGTCATGTTATAAAATTGTAGATTATGCTAGCTTTAGTGTACCTATAATCTTAATTTTATTAATGACAGGAGGCGAGTATTTCCCACCCATTCTTATCCCTCCCTTGTTTATTGTAATTTGGGTTCATCAGGTACGTATGCAACTCTGCTTGTTGTCTCTGCTACCTGTCGCCTGTTCTTATGTCTATTTTTTTCATAAGTAGGGTTGGGATATCTACGTATTAGGGTAATTTTAGTTGCTTCATTGGGTACCTACATGTTTATTCAGAGTACATTTCATTGGTTAACCAACCTGTTCGATTCTGTTTTTCTCTCGTTTCAGTTTACAGTCCATCAACGCTATCTGGTTTGGCAGTTCCTCTCGGATGGTGGACATTGTTGTATTCATTGTATCTAGGACTTCATTTCTTTCCCATTATATTTTTTCTGCTTTTGTTCTATTTTGTTGCAGCTTGAAAGAGGAAATGATGCATGGGGAGGGGAGTTTTATAGTACTTTACTTTTTACTTTATTCTGATTGGTTGTTTTTCCTGTGCTGCTGTGGAGTTCTAGTAAAGAGAGACTTAAGCAAATACTAAAATTAAGATTATAGGTACACTAAAGCTAGCATAATCTACAATTATCTCCCAAGCACAGAGGAGGGATTCTATTGTTTGTGTAGGGGAGTGTCTCATTGCATGACTCTTTTTATTGGTTGATTCCCTTTGTGTCCCTGGGCCCAACAAGGTCCACCTGGGTGTCACCCTTGTTGGGAAACTTGCATAAAAGGCCAGTGTGCCTCCATTAAAATGCCATTCCAGCTTACACTCCAAAACTGTGTGTCGTCCTGTTATTGGAGGTAAAGAAGATTTACTCCTGTGTCTGCTGTTCCAGCTTGCGGTTCGGTTCCATTCGGTTCCAGAGTTCCCAGGACTGAGTGTCGTCCAGTGCCTGGGGGTGTCAGAGCTAATTCCCCATTTGGCTCCAGGAAGGAAGTGGCCAGTTCCAGGGCTCCAGTCAAGCCACGGCAACTATGTGCAGAAGTGCTGCGGTTTGTCCCCTGTTCCAGCTAGGAATCGGTCCTTGGCAGAGGTACCCAGCCAGGGGTACAGGGAGCTCGGTTACAGTGTCCATTACACAGCGTCTGTTGCAATGTGTCTATCACACAACATCTGTTACAATGTGTCTGTTACGGTTGCCCCAGGCTAGCTGAGGGTTAGACCGTAGAAAGGATGCTTCTATCGCTCACCAAAGGACCATCAGCACCGAAGACACCATAAGTACTGCAGACCCCACGAACCGCCGCTGCTGGAGAACAATGGGACAGGAAAACGGGAGAGGGGAAGAAGCACATTTTCCCATGGAATTAAAAGTGCAGAAAAAATAAGTGTTTTAAAAATCCAATAAGCCGAAATAGACTTTTTAAATGTCAATTCACCCCAGGGGCCATAGTCATAAGGCAGGAGGCTGGCAATCAGGCTCCTCCAAAAGTCAGGGGAAAAGGGCAGTTTGGCCCATAAAAAGCCACTGGCAAAGGGCAGTTTGTCACAGTGTCCATTACACAGAGTCTGTTGCAATGTGTTTATCAGAGAGTGTCTGTTACAATGCGTCCATTACAAAACCTATCTTACAATGCGTCCAATATGAATGTGTGAGATAAAATACGTCTTTAGACCTCTATGAGCTCAATTCAATAAAGATCAGTTTTAGGAAAAACATTTTAAGAGAGATTAATTATAACTCACATTTTTACCATTTTTATTGTTTATTTTCAATTACAAAACAATCTAATATAATCTTATCTGTTGCTCATTTTACGTGGTAAGATTTCACCCCCTCTGCACTGTAATAAGGTTATATTTCTCACGGTTTAGATCACGAGGTTTGAAGGTTTGACATCAGTCAGAGCTGGACTGTTTATATTAAATTCTAAATGGATATTAGTAAATAGCGATATAACTGAAAGTGAGAATAGGGACTAAACTGCTCCATCTTCTATAGAATGTAAAAAGTGAATAAACAATGAATAAAGATATAGGATTTATAGTGAGAATAAAACTGTAATTATGAAAGTTTCTCTAACAACCATTTATCGCATTTTATGGAGGACATTCTAAGCTGCATTATGGGCTGGGGGAGAGTAACGTCACTCGTCCCGTTATAATCTAAGGGACATTAAATTATTTTCTTTTTTAAACAGCTCGATTCTAAATCTAAACTCTAACAGGAAAACTCAAATGGTAAAAGTATATATTTAGTATGAGATTGTGAACTACATAGACATCTTTCTATACTCTGCACACAGTGTTTGGAGTTGATGAGCTGGGGTGAGGTTTCTGGTTATTTGGAGTAGCTGTAACTGGCGGATATATGGCCTAAAAGCCTATCTTTTAGGGAATAATCCACAGCATGTATACAGGGAGTGCTCACACATTTATACGGTTATTCCCAAAAGTGAGAATTCAAAGTGAATTTTAAATTTAAAGGGACGCTATAGTCACCAGAACCACTACTGCTTAATGTAATGGAACAGTTTATAATAAGCTCTATTACTTTAACAACAGCTTCATGTCGTGGTTCTGGTGTTTATAATATGTCCCTGCAGGATCTTCAATGTAAACACTGCTTTTTGCAGGGTTATTTACTAAGGTGAGAATGTATGGCAAATTCAGAATCAATTTCAAATTTAAGGCCAGAGTAGTCGAATGTTTAACAGTTGATTTAGAGAATTATTACTGGTTGGATATTTTAACCACAGATTTGATTTCTCACTTTGGTGAATAAGCATGTTAGTATCTGTTTTGCTATGTTTTTAGATTCAGGAATGCAGGATACGACACCAATTGATATTTTTTTTTTATTACATGGAGCCATAGTATCTTTAAAGAGTATTTACAAACGTTATTAAGGATAGTAATCTTTCTAATTAAAGGATTTAACAAGAATAAAATAATACATCACCGATTAATGAAGAAAATCGACATCCAAGCTCGCCCCAGGATTCTCTCTTAATCAGGTAAAGAAAGTAATACATCACCAATTAATTTATAATAGAACTATACCTAGGCTAACACCATCACGGCTGGGGAGCCCCCTTTATTTCATCTTGAGCCTAGAATCTCAGGTTAATCAGGAAAGTCCCTGTGCCATTCGTCTATTCACAGGAGAAACTTCTGATAAAAAAATGGAAGTCCCAGCTTTTATAATTGTACTTTCTTAACTAGTTTATGCAAGTGACATGTGCATTTCATCCGTGCGATGGTGCAGCTTACGAGAAAGTAGCCCACCTCAGAGCGCTGCTGGAAACAGGGGCGTGAGAAAAATAAGCAAGGGATTTCCTCCAATATTTCTGTATACATGAATTAAAAATATATTACATTAAAGGGACACTATAGTCACCAGAATAACTACAGCTTAGGGTGGCTAGATGATGGTTTTAACCCTATAGGGTCAGGAATACATGTTTGTGTTCCTGACCCTATAGTGATCCTTTAAGACTATGTTACAACACTCCTTTACCCTTCAATCTCTTACACCCCCCTTATTCTAACCTCTCTTACAGCACCTCTACCCTGATCTTTCTTTCTCTCCCCTTATACTGACATATATTGAGTAAACATTATATAATATTTTGCAATTAATAAGAAAAGTCCTGCAAAGTAGAGTTTCGCTGCGAGGCTCTATCAATGACAGTAATGTCATGTCGTTTCCTCTGGTAATTCGTTCTAAATATAGAGCTTCTATTGATATTGGTGAGTGGATTAATTGATTAAATACATATTATTTTCCTTTTATATTGTTTAATATGATGCACTGCATCCATTGCTCTCTTTTTACATGGCCGATTGAGCTTCCTGGGACTGTGTGGATAGTGACAGACTACTTCCCAAGTACTTCACTACACACCGGAAGTGACGCTCTGATATGTATGCAACGTCATTTCTGGTATAACCAGAGGATGCGATGTGTCTTTCCGCTCACCACAAACTAGTGACACATAATTTCCTGAAGCCTAGAGTGAGGGCAAATTGCCTCTGAACAGGGAGGATTGGCCCATGAGCGTCATCTGACCACAGAAGGCCATCGTGTGCACGGTTTCACATATGGATTTATGAACTGGGTTCTTTTCAGTATCAATTGGCAAAACGCATCTTGGAAAAGTTACATAGCTGAAAAGAGATTTGCGTCCATCAAGTTCAGCCTACCTCACATTTGTTTTTTGCTGTTGATCCAAAAGAAGGCAAAATAACCCAGTTTGAAGCACAATTTTGCAACAAGCTAGGAAAAAAATTCCTTCTTGACCCCAGAATGGCAGTCAGATTTATCCTTGGATCAAGCAGTTATTACCCTACATTGAAAGATTATATCCTTGAATATTCTGTTTTTGCAAGTATGCATCTAGTAGCCGTTTGAACATCTGTATGGACTCTGATAAAACCACTTCTTCAGGCAGAGCATTCTATATCCTTGTAACAAAACACTACCCTATGCCTGGGAACATCTGCTATTACCATCCCTTTAAGAGCCAGTCAGGCACCTACACAGGTTCAGAGACATGGGATTATAACTATATATTGTTTATCCAGAGAAAGGATACCAAACTGTATATAAATTGAAAATGCTTACCTGCTTTCGTGGGGATTCTTCTTTGAAACAGTTTGTGTCTTTAAAACATTTTCTTAATTGTGAGACCCATATGATATGGACCCAGCATTCGTCATACGAATGCAAACGCCTGAACACCGGACCACCCTGCTACCGAATTAAGTGGTAATTTACCTCCCTGATCGGCACATCCAGTCTTTATGGGAAACGCACGAACGCTTTGTTTAAGTTCCTGGGTGGCCATTTCGGGACTTATACAAGTGTCCGCGGCCATCTTAGCTCCTGAACAGCGGTGTTTTGCTGTTGAGTGTCTGGAACTAAAATCTGACACTCGAGTTGGCGAACACCGCTGAGACCTCCATAGCACCGTAAATTCGTGCCAAAACTACCAACCACCATGCCGTTCGGTAGAAAGACTATGCAGCATATGGGGATTCTGACGAACATCAAGATACCCACGGATGGCAAGCTTTTCATGACCTTGTAACGCACGAACGAGGACCGACCGCAAGGCCAAAACTCATGGAACTATTTTTGGCTAGTGTGCCTGTGCAGTCAGTCAAAACTTTAAAGCTCCATAACTCCCGAACCCGCTAACCGAATGGGATGATTTTTACATATGTGGCTATCTGGGGATACTGGATTTATGAATGTACCCCAGATATTTGGGGTACATCCAAAACTAGGGGAAAAATGTGTCCTTGTTAATTATGTTAAAGGTTTATCTGAGGGGAGGAGATGTGCGGGTTGTACCTTGTCTGTTATTGGTTACTATGTTAATTATGTAGGTGTCTCCCTTGCATGAGCAGCATCACATAAAAGGAGAGTACCTGCCATTAAAAGCCAGTTCTTCTTGACCCTTCAAAACGTAGCCTTGTCTCGTTCTTGGAAGGGGATTTACAGCTTAATCACCTAGCTCTTTTAATAGCTCTGCCGGGTTCTTCACTTGGATCTCGTGAATGGGAATAAGCACCTCCACTACTACACAGCGACTTGCCGGGAAAAAGGACGTCTCCAATGGCTGATACCCTCTCACTACCTGGGTAGCCGTTACAATACTTATTTTTCCTACAGTAAAAAAACAAACAAAAAAAACAACTTTTTTTGCTTTAGACGAAATCTTCTTTCTTCCAGTCTAAACTCATGGCCTCGTGTCCTATTTAAAGTCCGGTTTGTGAATAGATTTCCACACAATGGTTTGTATTGGCCCCGAATATACTTGTATAATGTTATCATATCCCCTCTCAGGCGACGTTTTTCTAAACTAAATAGGTTTAAATTTGTTAACCTTTCTTCATTGCTGATATGTTCCATTCCTTTTATTAATTTTGTAGCCCGCCTCTGCACTTTTTCTAGTGCCATAATATCCTTCTTTAGAACAGGTGCCCAAAATTGCACAGCATATTCAATGTGTGGTCTTACCAGTGATTTATAAAGAGGCAAAATGATATTCTCGTCCCGAGAATGAATGCCCTTTTTCATGCATGACAATACCTTACTGGCCTTGGCCACTGCTGATTGACATTGCACATTGTTGCATAGTTTGTTGTCTATAACAATTACCAAGTCCTTTTCGTGTGTTGTTATCCCTAATTCGCTTCCATTAAGGGTATACGTTGCTTGTGTATTCTTTACACCGAAGTGCATAACTTTGCATTTTTCAACATTAAATTTCATCTGCCATTTTAATGCCCAGTCCCCCAGTCTATCTAAATCCCTCTGCAACAAAGTAATATCTTGCTCACATTGTACTACTTTACACCAGGGGTAGTCAACCTTTTTCTACCTGCCGCCCACTAATGCATCTTTTTGGTTGAAAACATTTCCTTACCGCCCACCAGTTTTCACGCAAGTGCAGAATATTTTTTAGAAAGGAGGGTGTTTTAAAATAAATAAATGTACGTACATTTATCTTTTTATTTCTACTTAATGCATGTTTATAATGTTTTTTACTTTATAAAGTTTAATGAGAAAACAATAAAGTAAATTGAAATTACCTTTACTAGTGATTAATGAGATCCTTAAGGCTGATGCTGCGAGACTAAATATTTGATATCTGGTTCGATTTCCGTTAGGAACAAATGAAGGTCTCCTCTTTCGGTGATATTCAGACAACTTCTCTGTTTGTGCATAATATGATTTCTCATCTGTGCGTCAGCTCCCCTCCTCTCCCTCCTCAATTCCCCTCTCCACCTTTTTTTCCCTTTTTTCTATTTTTTAACCTTCCTTATAGCAATGCCCAGTAGGAAGACTGAGCTAGGTAGCCCACTAACTATAGTCCACTATAACAGACAGGCACACATACATACAGACAGACACACACACACACACACAAGACACACATACATACACACATACAGACACACACACACACACACACACACACAAGACACACATACAAAGACACATACATACAAACAGACAGGCATACACACACAGAGACAGGCACACAGACAGACACACACACACACACACAGACACACACACACACACAGGCACACATACATACATACACACACACAGACAGGCACACATACAGACACACACACAAGACACATACATACAAACAGACAGGAACACATACATACAGACACACACACAGAGATATGCACACACACACATACAAACACACACATACAAAGACACACACATAAGACATACATAGACACATACACAAGACACACATACAAAGACACATACATAAGACACACATACATACAAAGACATATACACACAACACATACAAAGACAAGACACACATACATACACACATATACAGACAGACACACACACACACACAAGACACACATACATACAAAGACACATACACACGCATACATACACACACACACATTATATTTAAGTCACCCTCCTGTTTCCTACCTTTAAGGTGCAGGAGGGTGACTTTCCCTGGGGTCCAGTGGTTGCTCAGATGGATGGGAGTCAGAGTTCCCACTCTGACTCCCTCCTCCTTCCGTCCGCGCGGCTCTCAATGTTAGCTGGGAGGAGTGACGTGCAATCACTACCTCCCAGCTCTGTGATGTCATCACAGGGGGCCCGGTCACGCTGTTAAAGCGCCCAGCGCTGACCGGGCCCCCTTACAATCCACATCCATCGGGTGGCCCTGACTGCATGGGCCATCCGATGGACACCTTGGAAGGCGGCCCCAGCGGTTTATAGTGACGGCGGTGCCCGGTCGCAGGGGTACTGCCGGCTCGCACCCGCCCGGTCTATCAAAACGAGGAAATCCCTACCGCCCACCTGGAATCCTGAAACGCCCACTAGTGGGCGGTAGGGACCAGGTTGACGACCGATGTTCTAGACAAACACACACAAGATCTCCTGTACACACACTGCACCATCTACACACTCTGCACCATCTACACACACTGCACCATCTACACACTCTGCACCATCTACACACACTGCACCATCTACACATACTGCACCATCTACACATACTGCACCATCTACACATACTGCACCATCTGCACACACAGCACCATCTACTACACACACACACTGCACCATCTATACATACTGCACCATCTACACATACTGCACCATCTACACACACTGCACCATCTACACATACTGCACCATCTACACACACTGCACCATCTACACATACCGCACCATCTACACACTCTGCATGATCTACACACACTGCACCATCTACACACTCTGCACCATCTACACACACTGCACCATCTATACATACTGCACCATCTACACATACTGCACCATCTGCACACACAGCACCATCTACACATACTGCACCATCTACACACACTGCACCATCTACACACACTGCACCATCTACACACACTGCACCATCTACACATACCCCCACTCATCTACACACACTCTGCATGATCTACACACACACTGCACCATCTACACACCTGCACCATCTACACACACTGTAACTATCTATACATACTGCACCATCTACACATATACTGCACCATCTGCACACACAGCACCATCTACACATACTGCACCATCTACACACACTGCACCATCTACACATACCGCACCATCTACACACTCTGCACGATCTACACACACTGCACCATCTACACATACTGCACCATCTACACATACCGCACCATCTGCACACACTACACCATCTACACACACCGCACCATCCGCACACACTGCACCATCTACACACTCTGCACCATCTACACACTCTGCACCATCTACACACACTGCACCATCTACACACTCTGCACCATCCACACATACTGCACCATCTACACACTCTGCACCATCTACACACACTGTACCATCTGCACACACTGCACCATCTACACACACTGCACCATCTACACACTCTGCACCATCTACACATACTCCACCATCTACACACACTGCACCATCTACACACACTGCACCATCTACACACACTGCACCATCTACACACACTGCACCATCTACACACTCTGCACCATCTACACACACTGCACCATCTACACACACTGCACCATCTACACACACTGCACCATCTACACACACTGCACCATCTACACACACTGCACCATCTGCCCTGCACCATCACACTACCATCTACACACTCTGCACCATCTACACACACTGCACCATCACACACTCTGCACCATCTACACACACACTGCCATCTACACACACCACCATCTACACATACTGCACCATCTGCACACACTGCACCATCTACACACACTACCATCTACATACACCATCTGCACACTGCACCATCTACACATACTGCACCATCTACACACACTGCACCATCTACACATACTGCACCATCTGCACACACTGCACCATCTACACACTCTGCACCATCTACACATACTGCACCATCTACACACTCTGCACCATCTACACACACTGCACCATCTACACACACTGCACCATCCACACATACTGCACCATCCACACACTCTGCACCATCTACACATACTGCACCATCTACACACTCTGCACCATCTACACGCTGCACCATCTACACACACTGCACCATAAACACACTGCACCATCTACACATACTCTGCATTCCTGACATACACACTCTGGATCTAATATGCACATAATAGATCCCCTGTATGCAAATAAAAACACAAGATTACCTAAACACACACTCTCTACAACTTCTACACACACTACATCAATACACCAACACACTACAGCCCCTATGCACACACTGGCTACATCCCCTATATACACACTATGCTCCTATAAACACACACGCTCTCATTTTGTACAGATCCTAGCTACACATTTTACACTACAAACTCAACACGACTGAAACTGACACCTATTTACAAAATATTCTACACCACCATTAACTCACTCCACACACACACACACACACACACACACACACACACACACTTTCCTAGCCCTTTTGTCACTTATGGAGACACCTGAGACAAGTCACAAGCAAATGCAGCACAAGCGTGTCAT